TTTCTGAGACCTCGTGGGAAAAAAACAAATTCACAAGTTTACTCAGGAGGGTCTCAAACCTACAACCCTCCGCTTCAGAGCAAACATCTTTAATAACCACTGGACTGTGAAACTTGTTGGGGTCAACTGGTCAGGTCAAATCCGAGCATACAGAACACAGAAATTAAATCATAATTTAATCATCATCTGACTGTGAATTTCATCAACGGTTAGAGAGTTGGCTGGTTTAATCAGAAAGAAATTCAAAGACTGCTGTGGCTGAAATCTTAGTATTAGAAGGGGCAAAGATCTTCCCATCCTCCTACCCAGGGGTGGCAATGAGCACTCTCATCTTCTTGCGGCCCCCAGTTGCTGCCCGTACGTTCCTCTTCTTGCTGGCTAGCAGGACGGCACTGAGTGACGTCTGCAGGGCCTCGGTGCTAAACGCATCAGCTGAGTCATAGGGCTGTCGCAGGGTCACCCACCTACAAGAAGAAAATTGAAGTTACACCAACTTCAAAGTATACAAACAAATCTGAATTTATCAAATTTAATAGATCTTGACAAAGAAGAAAAATTCATGAAGCAAAAGTACCAATTGTAAAAAAAGCCTCGAATATCAATATTGAGTTTTCCATGAACGAATTAAGTCAATGTTTGACAAAGAATGTTACAAATTCTTTGAACCAAACACTAAGCACCATAAGAGATTGAGTATGCCAAAGGGCAACCACTTCTTTTGTTTTCTCTCTAGTATTTGCTAAATTTGATGTTGCGTTTCACAAAAAAGAATGATGCTGGCTGGAGACGCCTTTAAGAAAGATTAGAAGTCTTGCATTTTCTACCCACCTGCTCTGTTCTTTGGCCATGTTTGTCAGGATGTTACACAGGTTGTCTTTATGACTGCCTGGGATGCCTGTGATGATGGTCGCCACGATCTGAAATGACAAAGCAGCAACATCAAAAGTCCAGCTTCTTAGCGCCTCAGAATGTGTACCTGCATGTCACCAAGGTTTCCTCGCCGGCAGTCTCTGCAAAACTGAACTGTGTCGATAGCTAATGACATAAAAGAGGCATAACTTTTACAAATCCAATCCCAAATCTCACCTCTCCATTCTCTTTGGAATCGTCAACTTGGTCGGCTGGTTTCTGATTCAAGACGCATGCTAGATCTTTGTCCGGTATTGGCACGTCACCAACACTGCTAGCAGCAAAGTGGTCCAGAAACCTAGGCGGAAAAAAAATGATTGAAGTTAGAAATGATTGCGTGTCAACTCGGAGAATGGAAATTACCTTTATTTTCTCTCATTCATGGCCTCTGAAGCGCAAATGAAAATAGAATTTGAGCTTTTACACATTGACACTACAATGGGCACATCCTGATATCAGGCAATGAATGGAGCACACGCGCGAAATTTACCAAACCTCAGTCAAGCCAGGATAAAACAGTCTTGGAAATTTGTTGTGGGTCAAATCTGCCGTGTTGCTTTCTGCCGAAATGCTCATCGATTCACAGACCTTTTCAGGTGGTGAAGATTGGCCATGGCTACGCTGATGGGTCGAGCGTCCACGTTGAGCTTATTAGCCTGGGCATACTGCATCTGGAGTTCCGTGTGTCTGTGACAGAGTTAGACAAAGAAAATTTCTGACAAAAATGTGATGGCACAAGATGGCAACATTGAACGTTTAAAATTAGTTTGAAGACCATGAATAATGGACATGATAAACTTACGGAGCAACAAAGTACTCAGGAACCTTGTCAACCAACTTCAGTAGTGGATCGTCTGATGTCTTCAGCCACAGAGAGATGACCTGTTGAAGCAATCACTGGATGGATCAACACATACATCACTACTGAATAATTCAACACCACAGACAGAACTGATACAAATTCTGATTGGTCAATGACCTCATCACTTGGTTACATTTCAACAAGTAAAAAGTAGTTTAAATATCATAAGCCACAGCAGGTTTTTTGTTTATGTACAACGGTGAAGCACAAAGATAACTGATAATTTCTGTACGACCCTCTTATCAAGAGGTTGTCAAATGACACCAAAGACCTTCAAGTAACTCTTCAAATTGGTCAACTACAGTTAGGCTTCAGTCTTGCCAAAAGGACAACCGCCTCTCATAAAATAGGAACAGTTTTAAATAGTAACCTTTGAATACACAGAAAACAGCATGGTTTTCACTTGTAACATGCTCTAGATATAGCTGGAGTGAGTGAGTCAGTGAGCGAGTCAGTCAGTGAGCCAGTGAACGAGTCACCCAGTCAGTGAGCGAGTCACCCAGTCAGTGAGCGAGTCAGTCAGTGAGCCAGTGAGCGAGTCACCCAGTCAGTGAGTGAGTCAGTCAGTGAGTGAGTCAGTGAGCCAGTGAGCGAGTCACCCAGTCAGTGAGTGAGTCAGTCAGTGAGTCAGTGAGTGAGTCAGTCAGTGAGCCAGTGAGCGAGTCACCCAGTCAGTGAGTTAGCCAGTCAGTCAAATCTGAAGCCATGCTGTACCTCACTGTAGAAGGCCCTGTGTGCTCTGGTTTTAGGAGTGAACGTAAACATGACCATATCCCCTTGGTTGTGGTAGTGCATGGGCAGGTACTGCTGTAGGGAATGCCTGTAAGTGATCACCAGGGCGGCTATCACGCTGGAGGAATCCTACAGGAAGACAGAAGACAGAAATTTTGGTTCTTCAAGTCAACTTTGCTTCAATCCCTGGGACGTGGTACAAAACTCTTCAAGAAAGATGAGATTTTCAGTCACATGGCAGAGTTTAGTTCCAATTTCTCCCCTTTTTCGTCAATCCGAAACAGAACATTTTGACCAGAAATTTTTCTACTGACACATTATCTAAGATTACAATTTTTGATTTCTAGAAGGGGCTGGCAAATGCCAAGAATCTTCTTTTTGATCCTGCCCCCCCCCCAAATTGTACATTCATCGCTGCCATGTATCTCAAGTGCATACACTTCTAAAAGAAAAAGAAATCACTCTTTTTTGCCTATAGAGGGCAGCTGTTGTTTTCATGCCACTAACCCCATCAAAGAATTGCATCTCTTCAAAGTAGGACTTGGGGAAGATGACCACTCCATGCCTGCTGTCTTGGAACACGAGCCCCTTCTCACAGATGTATAACTGACCTGCAGGAAAAGAGAAAACAGAAACCTGGCAGGCACTCTGTAATCCTTGAGCTTTTAGTAGTCACTTTCTGTACAGCAGCTTAAGTTAAGACACACAAATGGACACATAGCGTGCAACCCTCTTTTTTTTTCTTTTCCAGAAACTGCTTTGTACCAATCTGAAATATTCTAAGAATATCAGGTTTTTTTAAAAACACAACTTTGAGAGATGTCAAAACTCTAAATATTCAGTGTTCTTCACGTTCACGATGGGAATGCAAGCTGTTCCTGAAAAGTAAGTGTTCCCACCAATGGCTGTGTTTACAGGACCGTAGTGTAAAAACTTTGTCCCTACCTTCATGAGCCGCAGATAGCTCCTTACTTCCGAAGGCAACGATGGATTCGCCGGTGAGCAGAACCTTGCCAAACACATCCAACGACTGTAAACCAGGTCAGCCAATAAAGACAGACACAACAGATTATTAAAAACTAAAACAAAGCAGGCCCATATATATTGGCAACTGGAACACAAGTAAGGCATACCATCAGACAATCTTCCAGCTTCAGAGAAAACAACTTCTTTTACCTTTGTGAACGTCTCCCTGAGTTTGGACGTGATCTTGTCTGCTACGTCAACCTGAAAATGAAGTGAAAGATTCGACCTCATCAGACACAAAACTGAACAAAACTGAACATCACAGACAGTAACCACTTGCTGCTGCCATTGAAATGACCTTAAATTGCACACATCATATACTCAGTGATATTTGTGAAATTCTAGAAATTCTTAATAGACTGAAAAATTAGGGTTTCGGGTGCGCCAAACAATTGCGGCAGGATCAACTTACAGCCCATGAGACGTATCTTGGAACATGGCTGGTCAGAATCAGACACTGGCTGTCAATGGTAGGACGCTGACCTGCAACGGAATGCAAGGGGCTGTAACCATATGGAAATAAACCACCAAGGCAGACAAAAAAATGCACTCTGACAAAACATGTCTTGCTCCAATTCATAATCCATAAGTCAACACCTGCATCTAAGTTAACCCTAACAGTCCTAAGTCCTCCAACAGGTGAAAGATTGAGGAGTGTTAGGGTTAATGGCTCATCACGGAACACTGATTACACTGCGTAGGAAGCTCCAAACCGAGTGCAGATCCTGACGAGGGCGTGACGTCTTTGAACACATTAAACCCCTTCCGGTCTGGGACCTTACCAGAATGAGAAACGGCGATTCTTGAGTCTAAGAAGCTCTCGGAGAACAGCAGAGATCCCAGGGAGCTCCCATGATGCTCCAGACTGACGATGTCAGTGAGTCTGAGGCTTGCCTGGTGGTGTTGGCAAACAGTTCAATGTTCAATTCACGGCAATCTTACTGCACACTTGTAAGACAATCGGTCAATATTCTTCTAATGAAGAACTAGCGTGATCCACACCGACGGAAACCATCTGAGACAGCATTCTAGACAGTGACACCATCTTCTTCAGGAAAAGACCTCCCTTTTTTTCGGTGTATTAAAAGAGGGCTGAATGTTCAAGCTGTGAAAATCTTATCAAGGGGTACACTTTCAATGCTTTCAGTAGATAGTTAAGATCTGAAATGTTTCCAAAACTAAACAAGTTCACGTAGCCTAACTAAGCCTTACCATTTTCACCAGGGGTGATGGTTTGCTTTCCTCCAAGGAAACCAGACTGCCAAAGTGATCAAAAGCCTCTAGGGAAAACTGCATTCTGTGAATAATAATCAACTTATCCGTCAGTTTCTCTGTCATGTTCACAGGAATTTGTTTTGCAAGGGACTGTCATTTTCCCCAAAATTACTGTACAAAATCAAATTCACAGTCTTAAGTTACCACACATTATGCAATGCCTAAAAACTATGTCCATTCCATGTTACAGTGAAATAATTTCGGAATCATGGAATCGCTGTTAGGGTCTACACAAAAGCTGGACAACCACAACATGAAGATAAAAAGCCAAGACACATTGGCATGTGCTCCGATGAGCAGTGTTTGATCAAACAGGTGTATTAAACAAGCACAATTCATTGAAATTGGATAAAACAAATTGTATCCAACACTGGCTTTCAACCATCAATTCCACTCTGTAATGTTAACAGAATCCACATGTTTTGAGTTTTACGGTCAAGTACCTTGTAGCGTATGTTTCGACATTCAGCATGTGGTCTGCACAACCCTCCATCAGAGTGTGTCTGCACACTGCCTCTACCTGGAAGACAAACAATGGAGCAAAAAAAAAGCATAGAATCACAACTGATTCCACACTGCCCGAAGGAACAGAAAAGTGACTACCGAGAGGGAGAATGCATTATTCTCTCCATACAAAAATGCCCAGAAAGAAAACAGAGACCTTCCCAAGGACTAAGAATTTTCTTTTGCTAGGACGCTTGAGGTTTTGTTTACACAAACCACTGGACAGGCACAAATATAAACAGCACATGCTCCGACCTGACCTCTTTTTCACTTGTGGACTGTCCGTAGGCCTGGATGGAAGCCAGCACTGCGTCTATTGCAACCTTGTAGAGGATAGACAAGAGTCTGACCGGGAAAGACAAGAAATAAACCACTGAGCTGAGAAACGTCACCGAAAAATTCCCTCCCTTCAAATATCTTTCAAGCCCTATAATTAAATAGTATTAAATTTCAGTTTGTGCCGCAATATTGCTGGCCAACAGCTTCACAGAATCTTGAGCAGCAGTTTTGCATATCAATTACCCAGATCCTTTAAAATCAATAAAAGGGTTTTGGAGGACCTTATGGGATTGAGGAGACAAATCATCAGGATAGCGCTAAATACCAATGAGAAAATACAAATCCGGATGTCACAAAATTTGTTTTGGTTCTGCATTTGCAGGAGGTGCCAACTGAACCCCAGGACAAGAGGTTTTTGTCTCTTTGGTGTTAACAGCATCAATGTGATAACTAATAATCTTGAGTAGATGCTACTCACTCTATATCTGTCTTGGGTGGTCTAGGGGCTCTGGGAGTACCTCCCGTCACAGGGTAGGGGGTGTGCCCACTGCCAAAGAAGTAAGTTCGCCCACAACACAGGGGACTCTTAGGGCCCACAGCCTGGCAAATCTGGCACCGGCAAAACGGGGGGAACAATTCAGTTGGAAAGCTTGTCTTTTCTTCCAGTAATGAAGTAAGCTGAAATCTTCATCAGCCACACTTTGCTGTTTTATTCTAGTTGTCAAGAATTCCCATGAACACTGTGCTTCTGGGGCCTTCATTTGTCATGCAATACATCAATCTATAGGTTGTTCCTTGCCGTTCAGAAAAGGTACAAATACTAAGTGAAGTCTAATTCATTATTTTACCCTAAAATAACCGTAACATTAACAATTTGATTTTTTTTCAGTCAGATACGCCAACAACCCCAACATGGACTGATTCAAGGGGGGGTTTCATTTCATTATCGGAAGTTCAGTTTATCATTCCTTGGTGAATGTGGTTGATGGATTTGTGAGTACAGTTAAAGCAGTACATGTGGGGGATGTGGTTGGGCAAGGGTTACCTGCCCCAAAAATGCTGAAGGGTTGGTTTTCTCTTACCATATGCTTGGCCGCACTCTTGCTGACCCCTGAAGTACCCACAGTGCCGTCCGTGTCGGGTGCTGTGGTACTGCCAGAACGCTGGCCGAAAAACACAAACGGTTTCCTGCATCCATCAACAAAATTTAAACCAGAACTTGGAAATCATCCCACACAAGCAGTTTTCTTTAACTGCCAGGAAAAATGGTCTTTTGGGGAAAGACTGAAATGATTGCATGTAGTGGTTGATGTAAAAACAACGGATATTTACGAGAGATACATATGTGCCAATAAAGGGGCTGCTTGACGGGTCACATGGCAATCACGTGACCATCTCAATGCCCAAGGAAGTGTACAACTTGATACTACAAGCTCAGAGCAACAGCTATCATGACACTCTTCTCACAAGTATCCCCAATCACTAAACCGTGGCTAAGTGTCCAGCCCCAGAACACATGTGAACAGTAGCTCGATAGGGAGGGAACCAAAACTCAACACCAACAAGAATTACCTGAGAAATCTTGACCCTGATATGATCCCTAACCCTCCAGGATGTTTTGGCTAGAAACCATGCCCGGCACATCAGTCCGTATCATTTTTCAAAGTGGCTTGCCTGCCCAGTGCAAAAAGATCGAACAGGTGGGCTGTCCCTAAGGCCAAATAATGGCCTGGCAGTCAGTGGTTACCAGTTACCACAAGTTCCAGCAATGGCATTGTCCAATGGGACCATGGAAGAATCTATTCTTTCCTCCATACACCTCCTGTCTCACCATTGGCAGCTGGTTCCCCGCTGTTGATTGCCCAGTGCATCAAGGTGCATCAGGCTTTTTCACCTGATGCACTGTGCTGCATCTGGCAGGGCTAGGGTTAAGTCATGATAACTTCATCATGTTACTGGGCTGTTAACCATGGTTCGCTGTAATGTTCATGAAACCATGTAAATCTGAAAAAAGAAATTTGCCAAACATAAATATATTTTACCTTGTGTCCGATCTTGGGCTGGCAACACGACCGTGGCTATAGAAACTTTTCAGTGGCTGTGTGGAAAAAAAAGATTCCAGCGGTCCGTGCATTAGTCAGCACATTTCATAAGTAACCCATAAATAGTCTTATCCAAAAAGAAATTTAAAGAGGGCAGAAATTTCCTTTCCCAGATACAATTAAAAGCACATGTTTTTTCTTTACCAGATCAAATACAAACCATGAAAGTATGTTTAATGAATGAAATGTAATTTCTGGAATTAAATAATTTGATTAAAAAATGCAATGCATAAACCATCATTGGGTTGGGGACAATTTTCATACCTCTACAACTGTGCTCTCCAATAGCTCCCCAAAAGTGGATCTGTCCTTGCTGAAATTAAAAAATAACTTTGTGAGTCAGCAAGTTGGACTGACAGGTTACTGTACAAACATAATTCCTTTTCAATCAAATCTTCACAATTCACAAGTGCTCAACATACTCATTTCTCTTGGGAACAATTTGGTGCTAGGAGATTGTCGCCAGAATCAATTAAGTCATTTGCCATTTATCACAGACATCCACGATAACAGAGAGCCACATTTCTCTCGTCTGATACTCAAAATATAATCGAGTTGAACAAAGTGAACTAAAAAAAAAAAACAGATCCCACTTAAGTTAAGATGAAGGATTCTGTGCCAAACCCAATGAAGACATACTATGGTCCTTTGTAAGCCCATTGGAGATGATATTTATTTTTTTTTTTAATTGGGGGAGGGTCATCTAAACGCTTGCAATGCCCACACGGTCAATGTATAAAGTAGTAACACCTTGGGTGTGAATTAGTGCTTTATTCTTCTTGCGTAGTTCTGACATTTTCAACAAGATCAACGAGACATATGGGAGTAAAATCACAAATGATGCCACTCCCCACTTCTGGAACATTCTCGACAACTTGAAGTGCACTACTTTTTCTAAAGGGTCAAGTGACCTCATTTCTTTGCAGAAGTCAGCTAAGCATGGTTCCACACGTTCTAAGTGCTGATGGCAGAAATAGGAACAACCATGTAGCCTTTTTGGAGGGGGGGTACTTACAAAGAAATATCCACATTGGTCAGGAGAGCATTCCACTGCCTCTCAAACAAAGGTAGCTGCTGCGTAACCAGCTTCTCCAGAGAGACGGGATCCACGATGTCGTAGATTCTAGAGAGGGACTCGGTCATGTCGACAACCTGTAAGGAGATAGGCAAAGCTATGAGAGAAAAGAAGACTGATAGTGACTAGTGAAAGACCAAAGAAAAGTGCCTACATATCTATAGACATCTTACTGTACAGAGACCGAGCACAAACATTTCCTCCTAGCTTTTCTCCAACGTCTAGGAGATGTGGAAACAATTTAAAAATATGACAAAACACAAATTCGACAGGTGCGCAGTGTTAGCAAGTTTCTCTCATTCGGCAGAAATTTTGTCTGAATGAAACCGATGCGAGTTCTTCGTTTTTAGTTAGAATATTGTTTATACTCACCTCATGTTTCATGGTGAAGAAACCACCCCTGAGAAACAAAAAACAAAGCAAGAAATAAACACTTAAAGTCTGTTCTTCTCGGCTCAACGATCAAGTCAGTTTCACAAAGCGGCTGCCCTACAGACCTGCTAAGATGCAGGAGGAACAGTGACGAAGTTGGAGGACTGGATACTCACGTGCCAAAATCTTCCAGTCCATACGTCTGAATAATGGGCCACTTCTCCACAGCAAAGTGGTCAAACGTCTGGACATGGTCTATGAAAAGACAGAGAGGAAGATTGCCGGACTGACATTTAAACAAGAACAGATCCAACATAACATCATTTGCGAAGGATTCATGTTGCATTGCAATCAAGAACCTAACATCTTTGGCTGCTGTGAATGGAAACAAACTCTTCCATCGCTAGGATTTTCTTGGGTCTCCCAACAAGAGAGTGCCTTTCAATTCGCACACTTTGCAAGTGTGTTGAGTAATTCTCTCCACAAGAGTTCAACTCAGGTGCATTATGTACAAAATGGACTAGAAATGCCCTGGATAGTCCAAAAGAGGTCAGCCTAGTTTATGAGCCCTCCTTTCACCATCCATCTCGACTCCAGTTCAAATTCCATCCATGCCAATTACCCTGGTCTACCTTGCCAGTTTCCCCCTGACTTACTAGGTGTTCAGACCTTTTAGGTTAGTCACCCTGCCAGCTGATCTTTCTACCATCAACCCTTGAAACAGTTCTAGCCAACATTATCAAAAACAGCTTGGGAAAACTCCAGTCTTGAGTGTCAGAAATTTAAAAATACCATTTCTATTAATCAGTTATCTACAGATAACTCCAAAACAATCATACACTCGAGCTTACCTCTGGCAAAATAGGGAACCCCTATTCTTGAGCAGTCCCGAACCATCTCGATAAAGCTGAGCACCTTGTAATTCTCTGCTGCATCCTCATTCTCCTTGTGCTGTAAGGAGGTGAACACATGGAAATGTCGGGCTGGTTTGAAATGAACTGTGCTCAGCCAAACCAGTGGATCAGGAAAATGACATAAGTACATACAGCTGGCGAATGGCTATCCGTTTTAAGGATGCAAGTCAGGTCTGATAGACTTACCAAGATTGTATTTTATGTCAGACAAATGTGCACATTACCAACTTAGCATTAATTAAGGAAGTATGTTGGATGTGTGCTGACGGCGTGTCAACAGTTTTTGACAGACGTAACATGAATGTGTGGTCACGCATGCCATGTTGCCAGGATGGTAACGTACCGCACGATGAGGTGCTCTTTATTTAATTGAATACACAGCATTTTATTTTTTTTTGGGGGGGGGGGAAGAAATGTCTCTGTCCGTCTTTGTTCTGTAGATTGACCTTACATGTGCACTATCCATGCACTCAGGAATGTGTCATATTCCATGGATTTTTCATGACCTGCTCTTTAAGGGCTGAAAACGAACAGAGTTTTTCTTCATTTTTCTCCAAACAGTGAACTCCAAGCACAAATAAAGTGAATGTGCATAAACTCAAAAGATTGCTAAATTTTGAACAACTCCAGCAATAAGCCACTGGCATACCACCTCAAGTCACTGACACAACTATGCATTGCACCAAAGTTACAAGAATTTTGCTCCAGGGTTGGGTTAATAATTCACGAAAATCATCTAAATTTGACAGTGGGGTTTTCCAAATGTTTTCAATAAAAATAACATCTCATAAACATAAATGAAACGGGCAGAAAATGTCATTATTTGGTATTCCTAGCATGTATGCATGTATAGGAATAATTATCTTACGATGTTATCTCTTCAATGATCTCTGTGTTTAATAAGTGGCACAAATGCCTCCGTCTCTACTCTGTGCTGCGACAGGCAAATTACCATAAAGCCAGGGGGCAATTGACTAGAAAGTGCATGGACCAGCACGGGGAGGTTTGCCTGGACAGGGCCCGGTAGAGTGTGCATTAGAGAGAGCTGGTACCCTGAGGGTTGAGATGAATGGGCTTTTCACACACTTGATTGGACACTCAGATTGTTCAACTCCTTCAATGGCGCGCCGGCCAAATTTATTAGTCTTTGCCCTCAGGCTTTTATTATTATTAGCTTCAGAATTTCCCCCCTTTTTTTAGCAGTGTGAATTACATGGAAGTCACTCAAGCCCGATCTCTATATTAGCTTGTCAAGTAATTAAAAAATTTCCTGCAGGGGTCCACAGTTGAGGAGATTGCTTTAATATCGTGCCTTGGGATATTCTCCGGTAAATCACAACAGGCAACTCTTTGTCAGGCCAAAAAAAAACATGCACATTTGAAAAACAAAAGCGAGCAAAAATAACAACAAAACAGGAAATGTGTTGACTTATCTTTAACAACTGACCCCTCCCCTCCTTCAGGCAAGAAAAAAAAAACGTTTACAACTTATTCTTGACGGATATGTCCATTCACCCCATACAAAAGAGACTCCTGATGATACTATCACGTGCTAAAGAGTCTGCTCGGAACGGTCTTACCTCTGCATCGGTCAAACAGTGTAAGTGAAGATTGTGCCAGTGGGCTATGTAGGGGATGACGTAGGCATGGTCAGCGGGCATGTAATGGACATGGATGCTATCCTTCTTCACCAGAATGAGGAGGTCTATGGATAAAAAGCAGGTGCTATTTTCAAAAAAGCCAAAACCAAAACCCAGTTAACCTTGTTAAACCTTGAGGTAAACCCCTGGTTATCACCCGTTTTAATTTCAAATCTACCCCGGTTCATTTCACTCTTAAACTACCGAAAGTGGGAGTCTTGGAGATGTACAAGATGTTTTGGCAGGACAGGGCTAGGATGGATCGAGTTGGGCTGACCTTGGTTGGCTATGCGGGGCTTGGGCAGGTTGTGCTGGGCTGCAGTTTAGTTGGAATGGGTCAAACTGTATTTGGTTAGCATTTATGGGGTCTGTCAATACTGAGAAATGATTTCAAATTACCATTCTCCAGCATGTGGACACAAATGAATGGTTAATTATTCACATTTTGCAGAATAATTCCATTTACCATGAAAGTGAGCTATGATTTCCAACAAATGAACACTCACCATCTGCAATATCTTCGCCGATTCCAGTCCTGTGGTTTAGAAAGCAATGATATGAAAATAATCAAGCACAAATTTTATACAATTAAGTATCATCATTTCTAAACTACTTCTTTTGATAATTATGAACAAAAAAGTTTAAAATGCATACATCTGAAAAGACGAAGTGTTTGAGTCACAAATGATTCATAACTAGACCCGCGCTCTGTTTACACTTTCTGGAAGTATTTTGACAAAAAACTTCAAGGTAAACGTATCTGTCAACGTGAGCAGTTTGAGTTACTGATATGTTTTTGTACATAAAACCCTATTCTTTTGGCGGAAATGAATTACTCTTTGAATTAAGCGGAGTTTCGAGTGAACCGATTTTGAGTTATGGAGATTTTACTGTATGTAAGGCCACACTTTATATCTGAACACTTGGTAAGGAAAATATTTTACAAATTCAAAATATACCTATCTGATTCTTCTTTTCTTAGATCCAGAAATCCAAACAGAAGGTAGTTAGCCAACTCTCGGCAACCCTCATTGTACCTTAGGAAAAATTATAGACAGCCATTACTTCACTGATTTCATTTCTTAAAGCTGTGGGACTTGTGATGTCACATTTTTGGGGGTTCATTACCATTTGCACCTTGTTCCTATAATAAGGAAGCCAAGTCCACTTTCTCAAACTAACATTTTGACCTTAAAGAGAGCCATTACTCAATCCCGATAGGCCTTGTTTAGGTAAATTTTGACAATATTTAAGCAAGACAGCTTCAAATTTCTAACCCGACTTTGTCAAAAGACAACCACTTAATAGTCGAATGACACCATTTTGTTTTTCGTCTGGTTACCCGACTCAGGCTTTTGGATTCATCAAAACAAATCTCCATCCTGGTCAAGAAACAAGACTACATTCGCAATTTTTGTCAATCACAGCTCTCTTCGGGGCGGGGCTCAATGCGCGGGCTGGCACACATATGAATTCTGTCCCTTTTGTGCTAAATCACTAACCTGCTATCGATTCCCAGAATGCAGAGGACTGCATCAGTGGCTGATGAATCCTGATCAGAAGGTTCTCTCAGAAGTGACTGGACATGGCGCAGTCTTGCACAGCTGTGGGCAGAACACACCTTCTGGTTCAACTTTTGATAAAATTTATGTTTCTTAGAGAGGATAGGCCTAATGGCGGGCCTTGTGCTGAAGTGGTAAGCACTTCTTCTGTCCAAGTTAATCAAAATGTTTTTCTCCAACCTAACTTGTGATTTGGAGTAGGCTCGGTGCTTTCGAGTCAACTCGTACCAGGGGCAACTTGTACCTTGGACAACTTGTACCACAGGCCTTGAATTTCACGATGGCCACGACGGCCATGGCCGTCGGTGCCCTCCCATTTGACCGCTGAAAAGTGATCGTGCTTCACCGTTAAGATGGCAGTGCCCTTTTTTTATTCTTGGCCATAGTGCCCTACACGTGCATATCGACTGCCCCTGTTCAGCGAGGTACACAGAAAGCGGCGTACACATTGTTCCTTGATTGCTCAAATTCGACCAGAACATCGCGCTACATCACCAAAATGTATGGATGTCATACACTCAGCCCGCCACGCACCGGCAGCCCAGCCCGCTCCATGCAGACTGCACAATCGCACGCATAGCACGATTGCAGGCATAGCACGGCACAGGCGACATCCGCTGGCCCATCCAACGACTTAACATGACAGCGTATGCCCAAGCCAAGTATTTTAACGTACCATGCAATAATGTCAGTCTGGAACAAGTGCTCATCAACATGTAGGCGTTATCGGTATATCAAGAGCTCCAAGCTTTTTGCATACACGGGACAATTGTATGGTCGGGACAGTATTTTAACTAAAACCGCAATGTAGTGTTTGCAGTTTGCAGTCCACAAAATTCTATCTTCGAGAAGACATGCCTTTTGATGTCCTTCAGTCTACCAACCAAATGCTTCAAACACGCATCACACCACGTGCACTTGCAGTACCCAGGTTTGTCAATTTTCACGAGAAAGTCATGATAATATATCGATTTCCCCTTGGTTAATTCTCTGTCCACCTCGGTTTCCAGCCAGGAAAATTTCCAAGAATTCTTGAATCCTTTGTCTACATTCAGATCCCCTTCCTTACCTACTACCTTGTTTGACATTTTTGATGGACATCGACGACATCAGACCACAACGAGAACAAAACGAAACGCAATGGCAGATGGACGCAAGTTGTACACAGTGCATGCAACGACAACACGTATACCGTGCATACACACACAGCGAATGTACAGTACAATGTACGTACAGTACATACACACAATCAAAGTGCTGGCCTGGGTCCCTATGTTTTAACAATGATACCCCCTCCGGTCAATGTACTATTAACTATGTATCTGGCACATTTCCAGGGGGAGTAACAGTGCAAAAGCGCATGCTATACACAAAACTTGTGCAAGTCTTTCTTTTTCCTTCCTACAATGCCTTTCTACCATTGTGCAAAATCAACCATGCAGTATTTGCGACAGGTCTAACTTCCCTAAGGCTTATGTATTTGTGCTAGGCCTACCACTTGCCACTAGTGCCTGCGTTCATTGTAGGCCTAAGGCTTTATTTTGAAAATTGCATTCACCAGTTCAATGTGATATCTACGAATTGGCATAACAGGACGACTAAAATCGTGACACTGCCAAGAATGACATGTACAATGAATAACCCAGTCCAAATTAAAACGCAGAGAAAGATGTCGGAAATAGACGTTGATACCCTAACCAAACGAATACTGGATGGCGAACCCTGAAAGTTGTTTTTGCTCTAAATTTCAACTTAAACCGTGCACAACTTACTAGTTATTAACGTTTGATTTGGTGCACATACCTTGCGAAAGCAGAAAAGGTGGCTTGTGGCACATTTTTGCGAGCTGACGAAGGCCTCGTAGGTGGCATTGCGTTGATATTTTCTGCAGAAACCTGCCTAGAAACTCCAAACAACTACCGCCATCTTTAGAAACGAACACGTGACTATACATCTCGAGCACAGATTGGCTGGTTTCGGTTTCCTGTCATTCAGCGCCAAATTTGCATAATAAGGTTCCGGGGTGTGGGTTGGCAGTGCGGGGGGGGGGAAATAAATCCAATATTGAAATTTATTGAAATTTCTAATAAAAATGTTTGGAACGAAAAATGATAATACATGGAACTGATGTGTGAACATCAACCAACAATTCGATAAACTTTCGTTTCTCAAATATTCGATTCATGGAACGGAAGGCATCCAGGAATTACCAAGCCATTGAACGCTGTTGTCAAACGATGGCAATTTCTTCAAAACAACGATAAAATAAATAACTTCTTCCTGCACACTAACTTGCACAATGAACACCAATATCATAAATAAAAGCACACGTGACAGCGTTCAACTCTTTTATCAAAAACATGTCTAATAAGCATCTTTATTTCCCATTCCATAAAACAGCTGTCAGTGTCACACTAAATCCACAGGTGACGGCCATTGTAACACTCAAAGTGTACCTCTAAAGGGAGGGGTGGGGTGGTGGGGCAGGGCGGGGGGGTTGGACGTGGGGCTGTTGCCTATCCCCGTTTCACAATCGGTCATGAACTGCACTGGAGCAAGAGACAAACATCCATTACTACCCCAGTGAATCACAGACTGCAGCATACACTTTACATCATATGGGCTAGCTTTGCTAACAGAAGTGAACAATATCTAAAACAGTACCTAAATTACAGGTGCATTTGATTCGATATACATCAACTTATCCTTGCAGTTTAGACTAAAAAAAAACAGGGAATCTGAGTATGGCCAAAGTGTTTCTGAGGTGTTTGCTCTCCTTTTCGTATTTAAAGCGGCCAAACTTACAACTGACATAGAGCTTATTTTACAATTAGCAATAAATGCAGTATTTATAATTTTCAGTTCTCTGTTTTATAAAGAAGAATATTTCAAAGGATAAGTAAAACTCAAATGACACTGCAAAACACCAAATCTGTACTGGCTGTGTTGTATGAAAATCTCCTTGAAAAGTGACCTTGCAACACTATTTTCCAAAAGCAAAACTCTGAACACTAGGAGAGATTTTTCTTTTTTCAAATCAATGCTCCCTGACCGATTCATTCCAACTCTGCCTTTCTGCACCAAATGCCAAGTAAATCTGCAAAAGATCATGGAGTTTGGGACCCAATTTCAAACACAGGTGCTCAGTTGCTCTAAGATGACAACTAACACCACGGAGGACACACTTACTAGACAAATACGTTTGGCTTAAATATAATGATGTTTGAATGTAACACTGGAACTTCTACCATGTCTGTAGGAGACATGCTTGAGTGTAAGCAGAAAAGCAGACATGAGGTCAGCCAAACATTTCTGCTGATTAAACAAAGATTTTAGCATGTTCATTTAATTAGGTCTTTAATTACTCATAAAGCATTTGGTGCTCAATTAACTGTTTCCTGTCAGCATAACCTATTCGCTGGATTTAGCATTAAGCATTGATCACCAACTAGAGGTTATTCTCAAACCTTCAATGTAGCATAACCAGGGATTATTTTTTTCTTTTTCTTTTTCCACGGAAGTTAGTTTTAAAAAAAACCAAAAGGAGAAAACAAAAACACCCCAAATCACACTGTATTTATAAACCTGTTAAGGTGCACATAACTTTCCAAACAAAACAACTACATTTGGATTAAATGTCTTATTTTAGAATTTCTCCCTAAAAATACAAAATTTTGAGCTTGCTGATTTTTTTTCTTTCACTTCAAAAGGTACTTATACAAAATAAAATATCAGAACACGGCAAAACAGAAAAAAAATCATAAAACAGTTCTGTTGTGCAAACAAGCAATTGGCTAACTTCACTGTGGATTTACATAATAAAAAAAATCTAATTCAAACTTCAAGAATTAATGACATATTTGTATAAAAGAAAACCTTAACAACCTGACATTACGTGTTGGTCCACAGCTTGCCAGAAGTAAAAATAAAACAGTATGCCACACAGCACTGAGGTTAACTTCAACTCTTAAATCAGCAGCTTAAATCAATCTTAAAAGAATTCAAAAGTGGGTTCTAACCAAAAAAAAAGAAATAAAAAAGAGCATTTTACTTTTGTCCCAATTCTGTAGTACTGTTCTGCTGTTCATTTCTCGTTACAACCCAAACCATTGAACTAACCAATACAATACACATTATATCCAATGTATTTCTAAAAATGTGGCAAGAACATATATTCTTGCCAAAAAAAGAAACAAAGAGAACCATTTTTTTCAACCAAGCAATCAAACCCCCACCCCAAAGAAGCAAAGAAACCATAAGCCATAATCAGTTTTAATTGTAATCACTAAAAGATGCTCCAAAATTTCACATGACCAAACAAGTTCTTTTTTGAAATACAAACCTAAAACCTAAACAAAATTGAATGGTTCAATGGTGCTCAAGTCTTTTTAAAGATCAACACAAGATGAAGCTTAATCCCACAATATTGCTGAAATATAGTGCAAACACCTTGTTTCTGACAAATATATATTCAGACGCAATCCGATTGTGTGGAAACACTTTATACATTCCAAAACAGATTCCTTATCACCGCATTCTCATTCCCCAATTCATAACTGAGGGTGAACGTAAGCTTCGTCTCCCAGGTATTTTTTCCCACATTGATCTGTATTTGAAACATTTCTATTGAAAAATGAACATCCACAGAGTAAACAGGCGCTGTTTTTACTACTAGGACACAAATTTCTCTTAACACACAGGTGTAGATGGTTAATAACAATCAGGTAATCATCTTTAGCAATTCATGGGCTCATTTCATTACCAAATCCAAACTCTTGAAATTCATACTTTTTTAAAATACATTTTGGGAACATGTCTAATTTCAACTAGAAGGAATTTTATTTGAATAAGCTGAAGAAACATCTTAATGGGGTGAACAGTTATTACAAAACATTTAACCATGCATACAGTAATGATCAGTTGTTTTTCTGTAACTAAATGTGAAGTAATGTTTTCTTCTATACAATTCATGCAATAAGTTCCTAATCAAGTCTAGGATTGTACACAAGTTTTTAGATTCAATCCGATGCTAATTTCCTTTCCTAGTTTTCACAGGACATCTATACAAATGTATTCAAAGACAGTAACTTTTTTTTACAAAAAATTGTAAGATTTCAGCTTAATATCAACACCCGTATGGTAAACACTAATAATCCTCATGCATTGTTCAAAAAGTTTATCATCAGTCTATAAGATTACAATTAACACCGAGTGTCAATTTAATTTTATCAAAGTGCTCTTTTCTGTCTCTATAACAAGGAGTGAGTCGGGGGACTAGATGTGCAGAAAAGGTATCAAGTAAGGCAACTAGAGGAGCCAGACTAAAATTGTCTGGGAATACTATCTCAGATTTGTATTTATCAAAGCCACAAAAATGTATTTACAACTTACAATAGGCAATCAGCCCGAATGGGGTGTTAAAGGCACAGTAATGCCTTAACCCCAACAGTCCTCAATCCTTCACCTGTTGGAGGATTGAGGACTGTTAGGGTTATGCTAAGGCAAGATGGACCCATCAACTCCAGCTTTGAATACAGCTTCTTCTTCTTGCTACTACCACTTTTGAATTACATGCAGTTGTACATTGAGCCACCAGCGCCTATTCCAACCTGACTTTTGACTTCAGTTGTGCTTACAGGAAAGTGCTTTTATTCTTTTTTCAAATACGAGCGTGCCAAGGTTGTGGGCAGTCAGAGATGGCCCATCATACTGGCCAATGGGTAGGGTCAGCGCTGTCTCTTTCTCATAATTCATAAAATTACACAAAGAAAGCTGAAATGCAATCTTTTCTTGTCTATAATTCTCAGGGGGTTAAAACATTCGTCTATTTTCTTTTTCGTGGGTGCTCTTTGGTTTTAGAACCAGGAGGAAAAAACATTGAACAGCTGACTGGGCTCCACCAGCCTACAAAAAATGACAAATCTTTTATTCTGTTGAACTCCTTTTTTGAAACTTTAACATCAGCCTTGCGAGTCGTGAACAAACACATGGGGGAACTGTGCCTTTAAACTCCAATTTGCCTTTGAAAAATCTTACTATTTTTCGTTTAAATACGAATCCACCTGCAGTTGGCATTCCCACAGGAATCAAATTCCTGCCACAACTGGCTTTTTCTTTTAAACAAATAAAATCTAGAAATTACTGGGGAGGGTAGACAACGAACTTTGCTAGGGGTAACCTAAAAACTTGAAAAAGTGCACTTATGAAAACACACCAATACAGTGCTTCTAACACCACAGTATATGTGCACTTGTAACAGTTCATGTGTTTGACTACGATTCACTAACAATGACTTGTTCATTGCTAGTTATTGGGTCTCCCCCAAAAAAGGCTACATTTTCTTTTATCCTCACTGTTACTCGTCCATCAAAATTCCATTATAATACTGCTTTATCAAGCTAAAACATCAGTAACTGTTCTCAGAGTAAAAAATAATCTACCAGTTTATTTTCTTGTCTTGTTTTTGTTGTTTCACCTGCTTGAAAGACCGGCTCAAAAACACCTGCTTCTGGAATGGAAACATCTATCACATTTTCTACCATCTCCACATATCAATAAAAGTATCGATAAAAAGCTATAAAGCAGGCAAGACAAACCCTGAATTGTAGGTATCAGCATGAAATGCGTCAATATATGCATCAAGCACTTATTAGTTCCTTATCATCATTACCCAGCCAACATGTTTGACTATGGTCAGTCCTGCTCAACTTGAACATACCGCACCAGTTAAATGTCTTCCTAAAATATATATATACACAACAGAACAAATATGTCCACACCACTTTTAGGTATCTCGAAAAAGAACAAAAATTACCAGAAGAGTTTCCCTCCTATAAATTGTACAAATTGTTTAGTGTAAAAAAAAGCGACAAAAGTGAATCTTGCTGCTGTAGTTTGAAATAACTCCTAACAATGGAGGAAATCTGTGAAGGAGTTCATAATGGGAAAAATTCAGTTCACTTCACTTGAATACAGCACAAGAAGTTTTCAACTTGATAACATTTAGAAGTGACTTCTACGTCATTTCAAATCAAAAATATTCTTTTGGAGAAAAAAAATTCCCCTGAACTCCTCACTGTGACCAATCCTAATACCAAGTCTCCTGACTTCAATTAACAGCATTACTTACAAAAAAAGACCTCATGTTCACAAGTTGTGTCAGATGACCAGCCCATCAAGTTCAGGTCGCCTGACTGCATTTCACAAAACTGTTCACATGGGCCTGGTAACATGTATCTTGGCCTTGCAGCCTTGAAAAATCATCCCTCATCTTGCAATCTCATGTACAGTGGTCAAGTGCTCAAAGAATAGACTTTGTTCACTCGGCAAAGGTGACCTTTCTCACCAATCATCACTGCCCCTTTCTTATTCTGGTAATATCACTTGTGCTTAATTTATACAGAATCAAAATTCAACTCTTAAAAGTTAAAAATATTTCTTGAACAGCAAACTGTTAATGGTAGAGGAATGCAAATGTTTTTAACCTACATGTTTGTCTCTTTTTAATATTTGTTAGCCATTTCACAGCAAAACAAAAATATTAATTCCACAAATACAACCTTTTTCTTTACTGTTAAGCAATTGGGAAATACAACATTTTGGCAAAATTTGTATTCAGCAGAGGAGCAAAATTAAAATCCAACAAATCAAAATTCTATCCGAGGAAAATATCTTCACCCCAATGAAATTCAACACTCTACATTCTTTGTGTAGAGGTTTTTCATCACAATGACTTCAATATAAGAGGACTGCAATCTTTTAAGTGATGCGATAGGACAGTTTTTCCAAGCTCATTTGACACTTTCTGAAGTGGCTGTTGAGATTGCAAAATGAGCCGATTTTGACTGCTGTAATATGCAGTCTGTACATTTCAGGAACAAGCTTCAATTAAATGGAGAACTGCCCGTTGGACTGAAAATGTCAAGAAGCCAAACATAAAAGCTTTGCCATATTAACACACATTATGCATGCAGACTACACCCCCCCCCAAAAAAACCCCACAAAAAACCCACACAATTCAAAGGAACTTGCATACACCCTGACAAGAAAATTTATTGTAAGTTGATAAACACAGAGTCATTAGATCAGTCATGTCCAGGGGTTATCATTGACTTAGCATTTGTACTGTCCATTTCTGGTTCCCAATGCCTGCTAATCAATTATGAGACTGGCCTATGCCTTGGAAACGGCCGACCTGCCCAGGAACTGCATTCTGAATTAAGTACACACAATTGCATTGAACCATAATAACCTGTTCAGATTGTGCAACTAAGACACTGTCTGTTAATGTAATGTGAGAGGTACGCTGTACACCTTGAATTCCCACAGAATGACCATTCATTTACAGCCAGTGGCCATTTGCTTCAAATCACATCAAGAAGTGACCTGTGTTTACAAGACTAAACCACGCCAGGAAAAAGCAGGAAATGCTGAAAATTCCTCTTGGGTTCTACCTGGCTTACTGCCATTGGAATAAAGTACCTTGCTTAGGAACACAAGTGCAAGCCATAGAGTTTTCACGCTGTCACTTCTTTCAATGCAAGCCCCTCCATATCAACTCCAAGCCATGGGTCAGTCAACTTACAAAAACTGGAAGCAAATCTATCCCTCAAAAATGTTTCCCAACTTATAAATCATTTTGCTTGGAGACACAGCCACAACATTAAAGACACAAAACACACAAAAAAGCCAACATAAAATTATTGCATACTGCCCTGCTTACGCTACCTACAAACTGATTCAACTTGCTTGTTCTATATAGAGACTACTATAATGCACCAAATCAATAATAAAAAAAAGTAATTAAAAAGCAAAAAGAACCATGTACAGACTTGGTAGAGTTGGCAAATGGCCGAGGAACCCCGAACAGACTTGAATTTGGAACGTGAGTAATTTTTACAGCTCATCCAAAGTTGAAAATAAAACTGACTCACTGGCTTCTTGCACAGATCAATGACAACCACAACATCCATGTGAGGATGTGTCTAAACAAAGAAAAAGAGACTAGATATGATGGGGGGATTTTCGTACGACATCATTTAAGATTTTAAACGCACGGCACCCTGTGGCTTTTTCATGGAGCAATGCACATCTAAAAATAGTTCCTTGCCGTGCATCTCTAACTCTTTACTTCCTCGCACTTACAAACTGCACAGAACCTCATAGAGTGACAAGTTGTCTGCCAAATTGCAAGGTCCACTTCATCAAAAAATGAGTGAAACATTTCTTTCCCTTACTATAGCTGTTTGATCATTCCAACAGTGCCCAGTAAACTTTGGCCCTGACAGTAACTCAACAAGGTCGTAACTGTCAGAGATCTATGAAGTAAATTCAGCATCATACATACTCTTGGCACAGATTCAAGCTCGCACCTGACCTATGTACAAGCACTAAATGTGCAGGCATTTGTATCTACCCAGTTCAGACTTTTTCAATGCCACTTCATGGGTGGAGCTCACTTTGAAAAGCTTTCCAGCTCTAGGCCTACAGAGCAGATTGTGTAGCATTCGGACTTTGGGAAAATCATCAACACAGTTAAATGCAAGTCCTTTGGTCCCCACTGCACCAGATAAGACTTGAGCAAAGCATTAATCCTAACCTCCTGGGGTGCATGAAATTTTTAGTCAAATTGGGCACCTGAGATCATTTGGGTTGAGGCCTTGCACAGAATGAGTCAGAAATTGGTCGATGCATACGCCCATGTGAGACATGCACAATCTGTGACCTTGTGGGTGCACATGCACCACACAATTTCTGCAACGAGACAAGGACCCAAGGGTCACTGGCTCTCATGAATGGGACAAGCAGCGCCCTCAACTGTAAATGCAAAAAGCGGATATGTCCATTGAGTAGCCATAATAAGCCACATGTAGATGACACTCTTTACTTTGTCGCTATGAATGAATGAAAAAACAAAACCATTTTTTTGTTTCAGAATTCATCAGCCGATATGGTGTACATTACACATTTAGGCTGCCTAGAACTGAACCCCTGTAAAGGTCTATCATTATAGGTTAGTAATTCAGCCTGTTCCAAAGTCAAGTCTAGAGAGCAAGAGAACACGGAGAAATAAAATCAAGCACTTAAATATACAGTGTGCTTTTAAACCACCTCAAATCTGTTCCACACTACTGATAGCAATGTCAACATTTTTTTTTTTCCAACCCAGACTGCCCTTCAGGGTTCCGCCTCCACAGTTCATGCCAACAATACCGCAAGTATCTACATGATCCCATAATGTACACACACACACGTCCGATGGACTATGAACATTCTCCTGTGGCTGGCAACTCTCAGAAATGGAGCTCTCAGATAGATGTCATTAACGCCCTTCTCGGGTATTAAAAGGTGGATTGCGTGCATGTATCCCAACCACAAAAGCAAACCAGGAACCAAACACAAAGAAAAACAAATTATTTGATATGTTCTTGGCTCAGACTTTCGGTCAGAAACCCCTGAGGAAAATAACACTTTTTCAAACACAGGAAGTTAGACAAATCTTTGAAGTTCTATGGCCTCGGGCAAAATCTTCAGGAACATGATTTTAAAAAAAGAGAGGGATATTCTTCCCAGAAATCAACTGAGGAGTCTGAGGTTTAAGGTTTATAACCATTCAGGATGTGGAATGACAAATACAGATCGTAAAATGGTGAGATTAAATGCCATTTATCAGCTGAAACTGTGTTACTACAATGCAAAATCAAACTGGGCCTTCAGCCCATCAAATAGAGCTGAATGGGGCCAAAGAGGAACTTACAATTGGCATTGTAAAAAAAAAATATGTACTGACGTAGAGGGAATTTGGAAAAGAGATCAAAATTGTAGTGTCATTATATTTTTCCATATGGATGTTTTTGAAGTGCACAATAGCTGTCCCTCTCTATCTTTCTATACGTAAGCAGATATGGGTTGGATTGGCATGGAGCCAAGAATTTACACTATTTAGGAGTGATGTCAATGCCAGCCAGAGTCCTATTGCTTCCAAATTGGTGTACACCAGGAGTCATCTGGATTACAACACCATGTGTACGTGTGGGTCAGAATTTACAGGTCATAGCGCCCTCTGTTGTCATAATTGGGTAGCCCAAAGGCCACACCTGCACATGAGAATTTTCAGAGTCCAAGAGGACAATTACAAAAAGGCAAAACAATATAAAATAAATACGTAGCACATGTAAAAAAAAAACAAACAAGAACAAATTCATACTCTATTTGGTCATGTATTAAGTTACGATTTTTAAAATGTTCTTGCAAAACACATTTGTGAAATTCAAAGTTTTACTCTAAAGAAACAATTTTGGATTTTGTTATACTACCTTACACTTTGAACACACTGCAAGCAAGAATTAATAACCAAAACTTCCAAAACGGCTTTTTTTAAAAAATAATCTTTCATTAAATCCTCTGGGACGAGTCTGTCTTTAGTGGTTTAACTTGAAATGAAATTCTGTGCAAGAACCACTACATGTTGCTGGGCTGGGTTCTGTGTGGGCACTATGGATAACATTTATTTCTGTTTTCACAAAATGTTCGGTTGACAAATTGTAACATAAAAACAGAAAAAGAAAGAAGGTCCACCTAAAAACAAAATAGTTGCCACTCTCCCTTTTATCAGTTTTGTTCAATTTGGTCAACGTCCAATTCATTGCTAGGATCCAGGGGGAAGATGCCTGAGTCGAATCCGTCCTCCCGGTCCAACTCGTCCCCGTTCTCCTCATCGCTGCTGTGGCAGCACTCCTGACATTCTCGCTCGGCATCATGGCAGCGGGTGCTGTTGCGCAGGCTGTACTGCGGGCCGGGCGCCGGCTTGAGGCCGGCCCCTGCAGGCTGCTGGTCCAGTTCCTGCGTGGGGCTTGAGGTAGGTGTGATCAGGATGCTGGAAGCATGGCCGGATGTGTCCCGCGGCGAGGAGGCAATGGTCTGCAGGCCGCAGAACTGCTGTGAGTCCAGCAGGGACTTGCCATAACTCCTGGTGTAATACTTGTTCTGAGGAATTGGGCAAAACAGGGGGCAAAATTATATGATTTGCATTTTGAAAAAACTAGGGGTGGATGAACAGACCTCAATAATCAATTCACACAAATGGATGTGATTAATGTTATTCATATGAGGCAGTGGATTTTTTCAACACCAAAATAGAGTATTGTACAGATATACTGTTGAGGTATGTTCTGGAATTCAAATGAACTCAAAGGTGACAAAAGAAGCTCTTTTGCGCACAGCTGAAATCAAAAACATGCAACAGAATATGCTTGTATTATTTTACTGTACTCATCTGGGCAACGATGACTTAAGGCACATAACGTGTACTAAGACAAGTGCGTTATGTCTGAAAGTGGAATTTCAATTCGTCCACTATCAATGGAGAAGCACGCAGTCAAAAACACAAGCTGAATGCAATGAGGTATAGCCTGAGTGTAAATAATGACCACAAGCACTTTCAACAGCTTGCCTGCTTTGAAAAAAAGGGCAGCGGGCCATCGGTTAGCATAAATCCTTTTTTGTGCTGTAGTGAACCGAAACACCAACCCCTTACTGGCATGCTAGCATGTATACATTGTACAAACACCAACTGATTACATGCCATCACAGCCGTGCACTTGTCACTGATTTACAGTGCCAATGGAATGGGCTCCAAAGGGAAGACTTGAAAATTTGAACCCTTGGACTTGACATGCTCAAGTTAGGTGTCCCGACACGACAGCCTGCTCAAGAGAGACACTGGGCCAGCAAATCATACCATTCTGACAAAACAGTGCTCTCATAATGTACACACAGTGGCTGAGACAGACCATCTGCAGATTGGTACCCATGTAGTGTTTCTCCTTCGGTCTGTCAGGCTCTCCTCACCAGTTTGGGCAATTTATAGCATGAGGAAATAGTTACCCAAACGACGTGACCCTTACTCACTGATGCCGCAAGTGAAAATCCTGCTCTTTATACAAGCTTGGAGGAAACAATGCACCAACCCTATGATTCTAATCCCAGTGTACACAGACGTTGAGGGCGCAGTGTGTCCGTATGGCCTAACACCACGAAAGAATGGCTATGTCCTCATGGCTTGGCTTCAACAGGGAATAACGCACGACCTTCTATGGAAGCAATCTGGTCGTGGCTTCACATAAGTCACACAGAGCCAAATTGTCCTGCTGGTAAATTCCTGCCCATTTAAGCATTAAAAACCGAGTACAGTGTGTGTTACTGTTTTTCCGACAAAAGTATATGTATACGTGATGCATTCATTCTACGCAATTAACTGGTTTTGGGACACATCCAAAGGCCACTTCGGGCATCTTCATCTCAGAAGGCTGAGAGCATGCATAGAGCCCCATTTACGTACTCAATCAGGATTGACACTTCCCAACACTCGAACCTCGTCTTACTCCAATAACCCAACCAGTCAAGGGAAAACTCCACTAGTAAACATGCCTGAATGCCTAGACGCTATTAAACCACTCCTATTTATGGTGTACAAGACTGATTTACCTGCAATATGACACAGCTATATTTTCCATTTTGGCGGGCACAAATCCTACAAAACCTCTGCTACCCATGGCTTCAGATGCTCAACATTCCCCCATCCTTAAAAAAAAAAGAGGGACAAAGATCCGTATTCCATTCCCACATGATTTACGCTCTCCGATATCGGAGCCCCTTGCACGTGTGAGACCAGCAACACGCTCAGGTGAAACATCACAACACGAGAATCTTAATTGCTGGCATTCCTTCTGGAGTGTATCAGGTGGCAATGCCCCGAGATTGATGGGCCTGGGAGAAAGTTGGCTGTTTTCCAAGGAAAGACGTTGGTGCTGTTGCAAGTCGCAGTTTTTGTAACAAGCAGCGATATAAATGTACATTTTAGTCCCACTTAGATGTAACCTATTTATATGGCAATACCAGATGGTTAATTACTAATGAAGAAATGCTTCATTCTGAGGGTGCCCCTGTAAGTACCGGTATAAACACTGCATGGTTTAGAAACCTGCACACTGCACAAAAATGCAGACACATGCACGCTTATCAATTGTTGTTTGTATGCTCAGTAAGAATAAAACTAGCGATAGGCCCACTGGCAGCCTTCCAAAATAAACAGAAACCACGTTAGCTCAATATGTTCAACAGTACATGCAAGTTTAACTGAAACGACTACCTTCCTCTTTTTATTAATGAAAAGAGAAGGAACACCGAGGACGGCTGTTTTTCCAGCACGGTGGTGTATCATGCGCGACAAACTGTTTTCCTTGGTCAAGGTACACCTCCTGCGGGTATGCAATGTAGGTCTATTTGTGGGCAGACGGGAGGACTGGAGCTAAACTGAGACGGCCTCAAAAAATGACTTGTCCCAGTTGCTAGCGCTTTAATCGAATAGAGGAGCCCTTCCTGACAAAGGCTGTGACTTATTGCATTATGTTCATCAATATATCCTTCCTCTAGTCTATAGTTTCGGGGACCATTCACTCTAATAACGTGAAATGCAATATTCACAGCAAAAAAGACAGGTAGAACCGCCCTGCTCAGCTGTCCAGGAGAGCACTATGACTTGTGTATACACGTCTCACGCGAGTTCCCTTAACGCGTATTGATTACAGGGGAATCGGCTCTGAAATTCCAGCTCAAGATGGCGAATGCAGGGAGGACTACGGGGATTATGTTGTATTTCCGCTCTTCTGGGCCTTCGTGCCGAGGCAAGCTTGTTTCCATTCCACGGGAGAATAATTTGCTCTCATGCCAACCCTGTCTTTATATGGTTTTTCCCACTCAAAAGGCTAAGCATCTTGTCAATCTGTCCAACAATACATTCAAGCATTAGGCTATTAAAAAAAAAAAGGCACAGGAAAAAGTATGGGACACTCATTAAGAAACTAACAGAAATGTAAAGCTTCCAAGGATTATGGAAAGGAACGCAAAGGATCCAAGGATGTAAGAGCTGATAGAAGTAATATGCATGTTCTTCATTAATTTAAACTGTTGTGTATTATTGTTTGAGAGGTACAACAAAATCGTCCATCAATCAACGATACTTGTGCACAGCCATGTGTACCAGCAATGTTCATTTTCCATAAGATGAGTGGCCCATTTGGACCGTAATACAGAGCTTAAATAAAGCCACAACTTCAAAAATGTATTGTGTCCATATGGCACTAAAATCCAAACCTACGTCATCTGTTATTTTTCTACTTTACACCACCCTGAATGTCATTCTGCTTGCTCAAGAGATCAGGGCGAGGTGACTGCATAACCCTACTCTTTCACTATCTAGACATTAATAATCCTAAACTCAAGGAGGGGGGGTTGCCTTGTATGTGTTGCAGGTTGGGTACCACTCATGCATGGTGCTCTGCGAATTCTCTTGTGAGCCTTTGTTGAAAGAAAATATCAGTATTAATGGCCCGGTGTAAAGCCTCCAGCCAACAAGCCTTCTCGGGATAGGAACAGCCATGAACCCTTCTTTTCAAGGAGCTTTGTTGAGAAAATGAAGGGGTTCCGCTTTGAACAGGTGCTGCGGAGAGTTTTCACTGGTCAAGTCTCTCTGGTTATGAAGTCATAATTGCACCTGCACTAGTCTCATTCAGAGAAATGCCTTTTCAACTTCCTGAACCACAAAAATTTGTCAGAGTTGAAAAGGTAGGCCCCATGTGGCTTAACTGAGAGAACATTAGACACCTCCATATTAAGGGGAAACTACTGTAAAAAAAATTCAAAAAAATTCTTTGATGAATTTACATTTTTAGGAATCATGATTATGAAGTCTCAAGATTTGGTGGAATACTTGTTAGTGGGATTAGCTTGGGGATCAAGAGAGAAATGAAAAAATGGAGTCCGGAAAAATACTAAGTTTGGATTTTGTTTTCTTGAGTTGAATAAAAAAGGTTGCACAAAGGATCTTTTGGCTAACATAGTCAATTGCTTGCATGCCCAATGAGGCTCTTGATCTCATTTACAAAAGATGGGAGAAGGTGTTGTGCAGCCATGATGTGAAGGGACACTCTGTGAGAAAACAAGGAGAACTTTTTAAGATGAAGGAAAATCGAGGAGGTTTGATAGTCCCAGGGCGACTGATGCACAGAAAAAGCCAGATGTGGTGAATCCACAGATGCGGTGTGGGAATTGAGATGTCACCAAGTATTCCAGCACATGCTGGTGTTTGTGATCAAAAGCTTTGACTGGACTTATTTGGGAGGGGGGGGAGGAGGGACACTGCAAGCTTGATTGAAGTGGCATGATGAGGTATCGGCTTACACAGTAATGCATAAACCCTGTGGTGGCAGATAGCCAAGATCCCTGCAGTAATCCCTAAGATGGACGTGGGACACACACAGCTGCCCCTCCCCCCCAAAAAAAACTTTTAAGGAAAAAAAAAAGCCTGGGAGCATGTCTACATCACTATGTTATCATTCAACAAACAGAGCAGCTTCAGTTTCCGGGGAAGAAATGAATGACCATTCCTAAAAATGACTGCGACAGGCAAGAAAGAGATCGTGAAATCGAATTTAATCTGGAGCAAGGCTGGGGATGCATGCATGGGGGTATCGCTGCACTTAAAAGGATTAAACGCTCCAGAGATGCATTCCCCTGATCACAAGAAAAAAAAAAACAGAAAGAAATGAAAACCATAAAACACATTCTAGAGAGTAAAGAACAGCACCTGCCAAATGAAGTAACAGAGCCCATGAATCACGTAAAGCGTGATAATCAGGAACGCAATTACCAAGGGGTTCGGAGCTGGGCACTGCACAGGAACAGACTGGAGCTTTCACACGCTGTCAAGTGAAATATTAAAAATAGACAAGAGAAATCCAGGGAAAAGCCGAGGAAATCAAAAGAATTCCAGGCGGTAGGCTTTGACAGGCATTTCTCTCATTCTCCAGATCATTTTTTTTTATTTCTTCTTTGGGGGATGAAGGATTACAGCTGTTGGGCAGAAATCAAAATCTCCAGAGCATGTGCACCGAGTGTAAAACAGTGCGCAAAAAAAATTATGTTCT